AGGGGCAATGCCAGGCCCACGGACTTAGGGCCCAACGCCCTTCCCAGCCTCTCTGGGGAGCCCGCCCGGTCCGGGCCGCGCTCCATCCTTGCTATAGCACCCCCTCGCTCGCCAGCGTACCCCTGCCCCTCCGCCAGGGCCGCGCCCCCTCTAGAGCTTCCTTCCCGGCCAGGGGCGCCCTCTGCAGGCCAGGGAGGGGAGGTACATCAGTCAGGCACACAGACGTAGACACAGCCACAGACAGCTCACACACATGGATGACAGGCACAACAGTCACGCTCAGTCCCATGGACACAGCTCGGGAGACGCACATTCATACATTCAACAGACATTTACTAAGTATCTAATCTAGATCCTCCCCCCACAACCCTTTACCCCTCTGTACTCCCACCTCTACCTGGCCTTGGTTGCCTTCCCAGGCCCAGCTGCTCTCTTCCCTGCCCCAATGGCTAAAATGCCCTCTATCCAAGATCTGCGACCCCTGAGGCATGGATTTGATCAGACCAGGGAGCATGAAAGCTGCGCGGGCTTCTCGGAAGAGTGTGGTGCCAGGCTGGGTTGAACTGCCCTGAGCTGGGAGATTTGTCCAGAGTTCACACTGAACCAGGAACCCACTTGGCTGAGAAGAGGGTGAACTAGGTGAAGCATATAGCACACTGAGGGCTCTATGTGCCTGGTCAGAAACTGTTACAGACCTACCCACCTCCCTGGTCTCCAACCTCCCCCCACTCCCCCCTCCAGTGGACCATCTAAACCAAAGGCTTGGGAGTTGTTGCCTTAAATCTTCCACCCATGGGGCCCGGGGCCTGAGATCTGGGCTGGATGACCACCGTGCTAGGCCTTCCCACAAACCCACTCCTCTGCAGTCCTCTACATCTGGGTAGATGTAACTCCAACCATCACATTGCTTAAGCCAGAAACGTTGCCATATTTTCTCTGTCTCTTTCTCTTCTTTCTCTTATATACTTTGCTGAACTCTGAGAGCAGAGCCCATTGGCTCTACCTTCAAAGTATTTCCAGAATCTGACCACTTCTCAACGACTCCCAGCAATCTCCTGTCCTCCCTGGATTGTTGCCGTTGCCTTCAATCCCGCCTCCAGGCTTCTATACCACTTTGGTCGATCCTCCATCCAACAGCCAGGGGGAGCCTTTAAAACATGTGAGATTATGTCACTGTTCAAAACTCATCTCACTGAGAGTAGAACTTAAACCCTGCAACAGCCTACAAAGCCCTACACTATATGACCCATGTTATTACCTGACTGTATCTCCTACCATTGTACTCTTTGCTCAATTTCCTCCTATAACATTGGCCTCCTTTCTATTCCTCCAACACACTGTTGCCTCAAGACTTTCACACTTGCTGTTTTCTCTCCTGGAACATCTTCCCCACATCTCTGCATGGCTCTCTCCCTCACCTGCTTCAGATCAGATCTCTGCTCAAATGTAATCAGAAAATTCTTCTGTGACCACCCTCCCTAATACCCGCTATCCCTCTGGCCTTCTTTATTTTTCTTCATCGCGCTTACTGCTCTCTGACATACTGTTTTTTTTTCTCGTTTGCTTATTGCCTGTCACCTTCATTAGAATAAAAACTTCACAGGAGTAGGACTGTCTGTCTGTTTTGTTTACTGCTGTGTGCCAGTGCCAAGAACAGTTTCTGGAACATAGGAAGCCCTCATAAATATTTATTGAATGAAAGTGGTATAATCCCTTGTTTATTATTATTTCATTTTTTTTTCACTCTTTGCTGCTGATTCTCAGGATCTTTCCCCACAGGCATTCCGGGAAGATAGTACTGAAATTTAACTGAAACCTCTATGCCAGCTCTGCACTGTAATACTTTTTTTAATTGATGTTTACTTGATTTACAATTTTGTGTTAGTTTCTGGTGTACAGCATAGTGATTCAGTTATACATATATATATATATTCTTTATCATATTCTTTTTCATTATAGGTTATTTCAAGGTACTGAATGTAGTTCCCTGTGCTATATATACAGTAGGATCTTGTTTATAAATTCTGTATATAGTAGTTTGTTTGTAATCCCAAACTCCTAATTTATCCCTCCCCACCCCCCGCCTTTGGTAACTGTAAGTTTGTTTTCTATGAATCTCTTTCTGTTTTATAGATAAGTTCATGTGTATAGTTTTTTTTAGATTCTGCATATAAATGATATCATATGGTATTTGTCTTTGTCTGATTTACTTCACTTAGTATGATAATCTCTAGGTCCATCCATGTTGCTGTGAATGGCATTATTTCATTCTTTTTATGGCTGAGTAATATTCCCTTGTATAAATATACTGTATCTTCTTTATCCCTTCATCTGTTGATGGACATTTATGTTGCTTCCATGTCTAGACTATTGTAAACATTCTCTTGTACCATTCAAGATCTTGGTGGGAAACAAGTGGCATGACCCAAAAGGTTTAATAGAAAAGAATTTAGTGAAGGGTCCATTTACAGAGGTGAGGGCAGGGTTGTTGTGGGCAGCCATTGCCCATGAGTTAGTATAGCTCCAAACTTCAGGCCATCTCTCTTTCTTGCCAAAGTGGACATTAAATGTATAGACTAAAATCCTGCCCACTGAGAGCACTTCCCTTCACCATTGTCTTTCAGGGCCACCCCTGAATGTGAGCAATCTTCTGCTCCTGACTGATGCCAGCATACCTTTGAAACCCATCTGAAAATCAAGACCATGCATTTTCTCTCTCTCTTAACTGTTTGTAGAAAACTTCTCCATGAAGGCATAAGTGTAATCAGAAGCAGAAGCAGAAGCAGAAAACGAAACAAGTAGGAATCTGGGCCACACACCCCTGTTTTTACCCATGCCTTCTGAAACTTCTAAGGCCTGGTCTCAAGTGTACAATGTTCGTTCGATAATGGAATGCTGTCATGCACGTCCGACTATATGATTTGCTATAGATAACACCCCAGGGGGCATTGTCACTGGGTGATCTATAGTCTGAGTTTTAGACCAGGGCCCAGTGGCAAATCAGGAACTGATTTTCAAATAGAAAAGAGTCATAAGCAGCAGAGGTATGGCCTTACTCCAACTCCCTAAGGGTCTTTGCTCTAATCCTCTTCCTGGGGCTCCTTATAACGGCCTTTCTCTGCCACAACTTCACTGGGTTTATGAGTCATAAGGCTTAAGTAGCCAGGCAAATTTCCCTGGACTTAGACCTGTTTCAGACCCCTTCCTTGCTCAGACCTCATTCAGAATCATCAGCTTTATGCCTTATTCAATAAATATGTTGCTGCACTACATCTAAATATGATATATGTTGCCTCCAAAATCCAAACTGTCTTTGAGGGGTTGTGCCTCTTCATGGTGAAGGAGCAACATTCCCCAGACCACTGTTTTTAAGCTCCTCTCTACCTCCAATAGCCTAAAAATTTCACCCATGTGGCAGGATCCTGAATTTTTGAAGGATTTCTTTCTCTCCCTCTGATATACTTGGGTCTTACTAAGGCACATAGGGCGATTGCTACTTCTTTTGCCCCCGGAAGCATAATGCCATCAGTTTAAAGGGCCACTCTGATATTCTGTGGGATAACAAGATTATCTTATGATGATCAGAACAGGAAAGTTGACATATCCCAAGGTAAAACAGTGAAGGTGTGTTTCTGTCATGACAGTTGAATAGGAATAGGAATGGATTTCAATGGTATTTAAGTGACTGGTACAGAAAGTAGGCATGGGCTAGATGATTAGCTGTAATACGCTGTACCAAGGGCTGAAGCATCTTTACAACTTTACAGGTGCTCTAATCTATGCATCTTCTGTAGCAACAAAGCACTGTTTTAAGTTTACTATTGTAGTGGGGAATGTGGTAGGGCAGACACCGTTCAAAGGACTTCCGCTTGGCCCTCCCTACCATAATTTTCCTCACTCCATGGTCAAGGAACCAGGTGGAGATTTTGCTAATTACCAAGTATGCTTATTCCCACTATACATTCTGAAACTAGAGAAATAACCATCAGGTAGGTCTTACAGACTCACTGTGAGATGGACCTGGACCAAGATCCTTCTATCACCTGACCTCCATAAACCCTCGCTCTGACTAGTGGATCACAATGGGGTTTGGGGTTCCCAAGACTAGTATTAACATGTGACAGTATCTAATAATCTCCCAAAGATCTTAATTTTTTTCTGTTCCCCATTCACAGTCACTCTGGCAAATGACTACATATCTCTCAAGGGAAGGCGTAGAGCATTGATTCTCAAATTTTAGCATGTATCAAAATCACCAGAAAGGCTTGTTCGAATACAGGTTGCTAGGCCACCCCCAGAGTTCCTGATTCAGTGGAGTTGAGGCAGAGCCCAAGAATTTGCGTTTCTGACAAGTTCCCAGGTGATGCTGGTGCTGCTGGCCCGGGGACCGCACTTTGAGAACGACTGACTAGAAGAAAGATTTATAGACTCCATCTGTGAAAAGACTCAGGCCTTCCTACCCCCAACCCAATCGAGGGGGTTCAGGTCTGGGGAACTGATTTAGGTCAAGGAACTGGGGAGAAGACTGTAAATCCCCAATACAATTTGGATCAAGTTTCTCCCAATCAGACCTAAGAATGTCCAATTATATGGGTTAAATAGCACACCAGTAAGTTGTCCCTCTATTTCATTCCTAGGAACCCTATGATCAGTGAGCTACCACCACAGCTCCTTATGGGCAAAGCACAGTGATTACCACTTGTCCCTGCAGCTTATAGAGAAATTTCATTCATCTTATTGCTCATAAGGTGAGCATCTGGACTCTGCCTCTCAAAAATTCCATTTTCTCCTTGAAATAAAAGTGCCCAGTCCCAAGACAGCATCTTCCATTCACACCTCCTACATACTAAAGAAATCACTACAGTGCTTTTCAAAGCTAGTGTTCCCACCACCAGTGCTTTTCTTATTGCCTTGGAGAAGGAATTATCTTCCGGGGCCCTTCAGAAGTTAGTGGTTGCACATAAGAGGGGCCCTCCAACATTCCCATCTCCCTAACCTTTGCCCACCTTCCTTTGTTTTGCATCTCAAAGTATAGTCTGCGGACCAGCAGCATCAGCATCACTTAGAAGTTTGTTAGAGACACAGCTTGGATTTGACCAGGACCTACTGAATCAGAATCTGCAGTTTAACAAGACCCCTGATGGATCACGTGCACACCAAAGCTTGAGGAGTGCTGCTCTACGATATGTCAGTGAGGTTCTAGCACCTCAGCCCCATTGATCATAAGCCACTTGTTGAGTTGGATTTCCAGTAACCACTCCGACAGATTATTAACACCACTCCCAGGTGCTCAGCTAATACAGGAATACCCAAATCCTGGGGAAAGGCAACCACATCAATCAATTCTTCCTCACTGGTCCACAGGATTCTCCCAATACAGCTGACAGGTACCTGCAACTCCTTCAGTGTATACACTTTTGTTCTTAGAGCTTACCTTGTACATTCCTGTCTAGGCAATGTTAGAATCAAAATCTCAGTGTGGGGATGGAGACTCTGGGGAGTGGTCAGGGTGGGTCCTGAAGAGGATAGGCATGCCTTTTGCCAGAGAGCTATTAAAAACATTTTTTATCATACTAAGTGAAATAAGTCAGAGAAAGGCAAATATCATATGATATCACTTATATGTGGAATCTTTAAAAATGATACAAATGAACTTATTTACAAACCAGAAATGGACTCACAGACATAGAAAACAAACTATGGTTACCAATGGGGAAAGGGGTGGTGAGGAGGGATAAATTGGGAGTTTGGGATTAGCAGAAACAAAGTACTATATATAAATAGGTAAACAACAAGGACCTACTATATAGCACAGGGAAGTATATTCAATATCTTGTAATAATCTATAATGGAAAAGAATCTGAAAAAGAATATATATGTATGTATATGTATAACTGAATCACACCATGCTGTACACCTGAAACTAATACAACACTGTAAATCAACTATACTTCAATAAAAATCAAAAAAATTTTTTCTAATGGAAGGCTGGATCATTCATGGTTTGCAGGGGGAAAAGTGTTCTTCTACCAACAAGGAAGGTTTAAGGGAACTTAAAGGACTGAAATTCTCAGCTTTGTTCATCTCTGCCTAAATGTCCCCATCCCAAGTCTCAGTGCCCTTATTCTAGTATTAGGAATACAGTAGAGTTTGCTCATTTGCCTGGTGTTGCAACTCTACGACACATACAATCAGCTCTTGGGCTTGATCTATAGCCCTATCTGCCATGTGGCCACATAAAATAAAGATTACTTAAGAATTCCATAGTAAAGGGGGATAAATTAGGAGGGGAGGATAAATTAGGAGCTTGCAGGTAACAGATACACACTACTGTATATAAAATAGATAAACAAAGTCCTACTGTATAGCACAGGGAACTATAATCAACACCTTATAATAACCTATGATGGAAAAGAATCTAAAAAAGAATATATATATGTGTGTGTGTATATATATATACACATACATACATATATACAGATATAAGTGAATCGCTTTGATGTACACCAGAAACTAATACAACATTGTAAATCAACTCTACTTCAAGTAAAAAAAAAAAAAGAATTCCAAAATGGTGGTCTGGATCTCCATCGTAACTTGAATTAAAATTTTATGGTATTAAACTTTTCTTTTTCTTATGTAATTTTGCCAGCATAATCAGGAACAGGCAGTGGACCCAACAATATACGAAATGGCCATTTGAAATCACCATTTGTGGCCATAACAATTAAGTGCCTCAGGCGTTTTCTCTCCTAATGTCATTCCCTCCAACCGCATTCCACCCTGTACCTCACTTGATGATAGTCTTAAGTGATGGTGATGCTTCTGCATGCTCCGGATTACTAGCATCCCCTTTCCCCACCCAAGGAGATTGTCTATGCACTCAGCAAATAGAGCAACCCAAACCTAGGATTCTATTTTAGAAACTATTTCCTGGGATCTTTTCTGGTACCATTTACTGTATCAGTCAGGATCCTGGCAGGAAACAGATGGCAAACTCAAAAAAAGTTTAACCAGAAAGATTTTAATAAAGAGGCTATTTAAGAGGTGGAACCAACACAGAATGGTGAGGCACTCAGCGTTTAGCATTTAGTGGGAAACCATTACCATACCAAGGCCTGAAGGGGCCAGAAAAAGGGACAGTATTTCAGGAGTCTTAGAGATAAACCCACGGAGAGGCGGCAACCCAAAAGAACCTGTAACTGCAGCCCAGTGGTTCTCACTGCCACCGAGGATGTGTTAAAAGACAAATTATTCCGGCAGGTCTGGAGTAGGACCTCAGAATTTGCATTTCTAACAAGCTCCAGGTGATGCTGATGCTGATGCTGCTGTCCAAAGACCACCCTTTAAGAACAAGTGCCGGACAGTAAATCACTCACTGTCAGAACTATAGCAAGAGGAAGGATTCAGAGAATTAATGCCTCAACCTCTCTCTCCTGCCACTAATCTGCTGCTGCCTCCCATGGGCCAAACCCAAACAGAAGGTAAAGGATAAGGGATCCTGAGTAATACTGTCCCTAGAAATCACCCTTCCAGAGAACAGAGCAGGGCAGAGATGAGAGGAGAATGGAGGGCGGTAGGGCAACAAATAATCAGAACCACCATAAGCACAAGGGTCAATGGAAAGATGGATAGAGGGATGAACTGAGAGATATTTGAATAAAAGCACAGAATAATAATGGTTAATATTGAGCCCTCTAAACAATGGGCTTTGCTCACATTACCTTATTTAATCCTAAGAAGTAGATCTATTACCATTTCTGTTTTACAGATAAGGACACTAAGCTGAAACTGGATAATCTGCACATGGTCACACAGCTAGCAAGCATGGACTCCGAATCGCAGCCTCGGCAAGCTATCTGTAATCTCACTTCCCTGTGCTGCTCTGTGATCAATGGTAGACCGGCAGTGTGGGATAGTGGTAAAGACTGTAACTTTAGAGTAAAGACACCTGGGTCCAGGACACGTATTTGCTTTGTGATCTTGTGCTCTGAGCCTCATTCCTTATGTGTAAACAGAGATAGGGATATGATAATAATAAAAACTACCTCCTGGTTTGGTTGAGAAAGTTAAGCAAGGTAACAGGGGTAAATTGTCCTTGGTACAGAGCCTCACACAGAGTAAATACACGGAAATATTACTGCTATTAGTAGTAGTGTCATTAATAGATGGAAAGAACAGGAAGTCAGAAACTAATGAGGGAAGCATTGCCCCCATCCAACAGAAGGCCCAGAGCTCAGGTAAGGATGGTTGAATGGATGTCCCACATATTAATTTCCCTTTTGAGGCCTTCTCTTCTGGTCCATCTCTGGTCTTTCTCATAAGGATGAGAAATCACTCCTCTCCCCACCCCATCTATCAATTCTCTGAAATTCGGGGATTTGTGTGCATATGAGCTGGCCAGCCCCTCTCCTTAGAAATCCCCTCTTGGTTCCCAGGATCGAGAGGAAAGGAAAGATGAAGGGGGCTATGCCAGGCCAGGCTCCCTCCAGCTGTTGTGTTGACCCAGGTGTTGGGAATATGAAAATGGTAACTAGAGAAAGAGACAGTGCTTGCTGAGTCAGGAGGTTGAATCCCAGGGGCCTGAGATGTGGGATGGGGTGCTGGGCCTCCTTCCAAGGAACATTCCTGCAACTCTGCTTGTCCCACAGGAGAGACTGGTTCCCAGATGATGCATGGGCAGGCACCATAATGACCTGGGGAGGCCACCCCAGGCTTCAGAGTTGTTCTGAGGGCACCAGAGAGTCTTCTGCACCACCAGCAGCACCCCAGAGAAGAACCAGAGAAGAGAGTGAGGATGAGGGATAAACCGAGGGAAGGATGCGCCACTCCTCAGTCTGACCCCTCCATCCTAACCATCCACTCTGGAGGCCCGCCCTGTGGTTGACAGTGCAAATGTCACCAGTGAGGTGACAGTGCAGACTCTCCCTGGAGCCGACAGCACAGGGTCCCCTTCTCTTGGCCAGACTGCCGAGTGCTTAGGTTTTCAGAGCTGAAGCCAAGGGAAGCAGAAGAGAGGGGAAGAGGGAGGGCAGGGTCAGGTTCTGTCAGAAAGAGGGGGCCAGAGGGGAATCCACGGAACGGACTTGGAGGGGAATTTCTCGGCAGAGAAAGTGAAAGTTCTGAGCCATAAATAAGAGGCAGTGGCAGCCTCATCCAGCCTCCACTCTCACATGCCCAAACCCCTCTCACCCCACATCCCAGCACTCCCTCCCTCTCCCAGCCAAGTCTCAGCTCCACACGGACTCTTGCCCTCACCCAGACTCACTCCCGCTCACACACTCACTGGCAGTTCGTCTCTGCTCACCCTCCATGGCATCCCATGCAGCCGCACTGCTGGCCCTCAGCCTGCTGATCCTCTGGACGTCCTCTGGTAAGGCTGAGGGGAGGCTTAGGGTGGCGGAAGGTTGCGGGGCTGTGTCCATCTCAGACTGCCTGGTGCTGGATGTGAGGGACACTCTGGGTTAGGGCTGCATGTTTCAGTGAACCTGGAGGTTTCCAGTGCCCTGTGTGTGTGCCGGTGAGTGTGCCTGGACCTGGGCCCCTGAGCACATCTGTCTCTTGATGTATCCAGGGCCTGAGACTACCTGTCCCTCTGCAGGCTCTGTTTCCTGCTGCCTCAGTCTCCCAGGCAGAAGGAGAGAACAGTATATATTTGCTAAAGGTGGAGAGAATGGGAGACACTGAAGCAGGGCTAAGAGACAAAATCTTAAACGATTTTTAAGTTCTGCTAACACCAGCCTCCAGCAACCCCACCTCCCACCCATCCCCCCACCAACACTGTGACCAGCATTAACTCTTCATTTGTGGAGAAGTTAAAAGGACTTGGGAAAGAGGTGAGGGTGATCAGGGCAGCAGGAAGGCTTTTGTGGGGCTCAGGGCAGCCAAGCAGCTTAGAAATACTTCCATACATTTAGCCACCAGCAGGGCCATACTGGTGCACATTGGCTGAATACAATCAGGTCTAGTTGCCACCACACACACACACACACACACACACACAGGTGTCCTTAGTCCTACTTAGAGCTGTGGCCTGCCCTCCTCAGGGTCCGTGTCCTGACACTACCTTCTTTTCCCTGACCTGGCTCCAGCTCTGGGAGGTGCCAACGACGCTGAAGACTGCTGCCTGTCTGTGACCCAGCGCCCCATCCCCGGGAACCTGGTGCAAGGCTTTCGCTACCTGCTCCTCAAGGATGGCTGCCGGGTGCCTGCCGTGGTGTGAGTGGTGGGAGGAGCGTGTCCCCTTCATCCCCCCCATCAGCCCCTGCTGAAACCCACCCCTACCTTCTTATCTCTCTTATCTTTCTCCTTGCCAAGCCCACCCCCTGCAAAAAAGCCCCAGATACAGGTTCCCAGATGTGGTCTCCGGCCACTGCCCCTCACACCAGGGCCTGGCAGGAAGCTAGGTTCCAGGGCTTTTTTCTCTGACCTCTGACCTCTGACTCCAGGTTCACCACGCTAAGAGGTCGCCAGCTCTGTGCACCCCCAAACCAGCCCTGGGTGGTCCGCATCATCCGGAGACTGCAGAGGAGCTCTGCCAAGGCAAGCCCCGCCCTCCCCAGCCCTGCCTCCTCCCTCCAAGCCCCTGCCCAAGACCCCAGCCCATGACCTGCCTCTCCTTCCTCCCCCAGGCCAAGGGCTCCAGCAGTTAGCCCACAAGAGTCCCAGCCCCAGAGGGAGTGCCGTGTCCCAGTGAAGGGATGTGAATCACTGGCACGCGAGAGAATCAAGGACTAGAAGGGAGGACCAGGCCTCCAGCTCCCCTGCCCCAGACCTAACCCAGCTGGGCAGGAGTGTCACTGTGAGTGTGAGTGTGAGAAAGGGTGAGTGTGGCAGAAGCACAGCCTCTGCATGATCAGATTCCATGCTGTCCAATGTGTCCAATAAAGCCAGCTGGTACCCACGAATCTGTCTGTTGTCTGTTTGCCGTCAGTCCAGGAGGACTGTGATAGGAGTGGGGGAGGATGGAATGGCAGGATTAGTTTCCACCCTGCGGCCTGAGCAGCCTCCTCACTGACCTCCACCCAACACGCTATGTTCTCAGGATCAGCTTCCACACTCAGGGCCCCACCTCACGTCTCCTCACAGCCCTATCACACTCCACCGCTCAGCAACACTAACCCGTATCGGTTCCCTGAACGAGCCAAACTCTCTCAGCCCCCCGGGCAGGTGATCAAGGATCCAGGTGTCTCAGGGATCTGGTGTCACTATGGGGGAAGGGAGTTGTTGGGAACCAGCTCTCATGGCTGGGAGGAGGTCAAGGGGCCCAACTCTATTGTCTGGGGGGAAAGTACCCATCCACGCATGCCATTCCCCCTGTCTGGAACACTCCTCTCTCTTCTGCCTGCCTGGCTTCCCATCTGGGTTGGCATAACTCTTCCTCCAGGAAGTCTTCCCTGAATCCACCTTGGGTTAGGTAGCCTCCCTCCCTCCTCGGCTCCCAGGGCCCTCTGCTCCTGCTCCTCTCCTCTTGCAGCACTCAGCACCCTGAGTTATAATTGTTAGTTTGTCAGCCTTCCTGGACAGGGATCATGTCTCTTTTGGTTTCCTCTGTCCCTTGGTATCCAGCACACTGCTGGGCACAAGGTAGTCACTCAATAAATACTTGTCTTGAGAATGGATAAATATGTGAGAAAAGGTTTGGCAGCCAGGGGTGAGGGCCCAACTGTCCACACAGAATCCAACCTCCAAGCCAGCCCTCCTCTCTTGCTCAGTCACTCTGGGTCAGGTCTAGCCCCATCTAGGGCCACATGGCAATCCTAGGGCCATGCTTCTCAGGGATACTGACAGACCTGGGAGCCAGAGGTCAGAGTGGGAGAGGGAGGAAGAAGGAGCAGGCAGAGAGCAGGGGCAGTTTAGCACGGAGGGACCCCACCATCACCTCGTAGCCACATGGGCTCCCAGGTCGAGGCAACACAGACCAGGAGAATCACAGGGAAGGAGTCTGAGCTCTGGGAGACAAAAGCCCTTGACTCTTGGAACATCCCACAAGGCTGCTCTCGAAGGATTAACTCCTGCTCAGTCCCCTGGGGAAGCTGGTTGGCCGCCAGAATATGGCCCCGAAGGGCCTGTCCAGCTGGGAGCAGCAAATCTGTGCCCCTGGGGTTGAACTAACAGCCAGTACAGCAGAGCGAGCATTCTCTCTGAGCATTCACAGGGGCCATCATTATACCATACACCTTATCTGGTAACAAAAGGAGGCCTGGGCAGCCTGGGAAGGGAAACCGTGATGAGGGGGTGGGCCAGCCCCCCCTGCTACAGAGCTGAGAGCCCGGCATCTTCTTCCTCACCTCTGCTCCAAGGAGAAAGTGTTCAAAACCAGCTATTCCAGGCCTTTGAGTCATAGGAGTGGGTTGAATGGGGATGGTTTGCAAGAACAGTTGGTATGGCCAGGAAATTTGGCTCTGCTGCCTGGGGGAAATTACCCATCCTTTCACGCAGTCATGCAGCCACCCATCTAGCTGTCTCTGCATTGATTAGCCCTCCATCCACCCAGCCAGCCACCCACCCATCTACTCATCCATCCGCTATTCCATACATTCAGACAGCCCACAATGATGTACCAGACGTCCCAGCTGTGGACATTGTTTGGACCTGTGCCCTGTTCCACCACAGGCAGCGGACAAACACAGCCCCTCAAATCCTTCTCAGTCCCCAGTGAAGCCAAGTGGAGTTCAGCAGACACAAACACACAGAGGCAGACAAAAACCCTTGGCGCTTGGGGAAACACAGATAGAGGAGAGAAGGTGAGGGTGGGAGCCCTGAGTAAGGTGCTATGAGGACAGAGGCCCCTGGACACCACCTCCCTGACACTGCTGTGGGGGTCGGGGTACAGGAACAGGTCGTGAGCAGCCCCCCAACTCCCAGTCCTGTTTCTGGCCCTCACTGCGTCACTCTGGGCAAGTCCCTTCCTCACCGCCCCCTCCAAGGGACATATTTCCACCATTTGTCAGGTAGGGGAAGCGGCCCTAGTTATTAAGAGTTCCTTTTTATTTTTTTTGGAGAGGGGGCGGAGTGTGTAACTAAGTTTATTCATTTGTTTATGTTTAGAAGTACTAGGGATTAAACCCAGGACCTCTTGCATGCTAAGCATGTGCTCTACCACTGAGCTATACCCTCCCCCACAAAATAAAGACTTGATTCCTAAATCTTTGGGTCTCAGGTTAATCCCACCCACAGCCTACACACAGGTTCCCTCAAAGTCATGCTCATTCAGAAACATCCCCACTTCCTGGGGCCCCAGGGACCACCCTCTGGGAATGAAGGGGACACTGAGGTTCAGGAAGAAAGAAAATAATCTAGGAGCTTGGGAAGTGGCTTGAACAGCCCCCTGATGGACCCTGGAGACCTGGAGGATGAAGAACTTCAAGGAAGCCTGAGCCCTCCCCACCCCTTCTCCAGCCAGCGCCTTCTCTCCCAGCTCTCTCCCTCCCTCTTCTTCCCACCCTCCAGCCACCAACCCTCCTGGGCAGTGGGTCTTACTCCCTTATCTCCCTGCCAAGAGGGCTCAGCTCAGCAGTCTGTGACCCACTTGAACATTCTCAGCACTCAGACTTCACCTAACCAACACCTGCCCAGTTTCACTATGACTCACTGACGCGCGTTAAGTCCTCATTCACACCAGGTCCACCACCAACCTGCCTACCTGACAATGATGAAGCTGCCAGCTCTCTGAGGGGTTAGAGGGCCTGGCTCCCTAGCCAGACTATGGGGACTGCCTGCCTCTAAGTGCACACCTTCCTCTCTCAGGCACGTGGCTCTTGCTACAGGGTTAAGGCCAGCAGCTGAGATGTTGGCTGCTGAGTGATCACAGGCCCTCCTGACCTGAAGGCCTGTGATCACTCAGCAGCCAACATCTCCCTACAGGCACCTGACGTCCCTGCTCAGGGCATTCCCTGCCTTTTTGTCCACATAAAAAGCTCCTTGTCCTGTCTCCTGGTAGAGTTCCCCCGGGGAGAGGTCTGGGCCTCTCCAGCTCCATTGCCAACATTGCTCTGCACAGGGGCTGGCATGGAAGAAGGTCCAGTACATATTTGATTAAAAAAAACCAGAATGGAACACGGCCCTTTCCCACGATTACTCCACCACCACTCACACCCGGAGCGCATCCAGTTCCCGGGACAGCGGGGCTGTCTCTGTTACATGGCTAAGTGTTTGGTCAGAGCCAGCTCCATACGGTTTTGATCATGTTTTCATCATCTCAGTTCAATTTCTCGGTAAGCCCCCACCGCATACCCCCCTCTCTGGCCTCCGGGAAACTCAGAAACGGCCAGAAAACCTTGGAAGGAACAGCCCCATAAAGCAACAGGACTCCCAAATAGGGAGTTTCCTCCAAGAGCCCCTCTGTAGGAATGAGCAGGCAATTTCATGGTCAGAGGCACTTCCTCGATGGCCCCCTGGGAGGCCACCTCTGTCTACATGAGGGGGCTTGGCTCTGTAGCAGGAGCTCTGTCACCACCAGTGCTGACCAGGTGTTGGGCACAGCTCTAAGCGCTTCTTGTACTGCAGCTAAGGAAACGGAGGTACAGAGGTGAAGTGACTTACCCAGGCTGGACGGCCAGCAAAGTGGCAGAGCTGGGGGGCTCCTGCCTGGGCAGTTTGTCTCCAGAATCTGTACTCTCAGCTACCACACAAACCTCCTCTCTGAGCTGACCCCTCTCCTAAGTGAAAACGGGGAACAAGACAGCAGGGGCAGATCTGAGGAAGTGGCCCTCGGGGAGTAGGAAAAGCCATGACTTTGAGTCCTTTATGTGCACTAACGCTGCATCATCAAACAACCCTACAAGGTGGGGGTCACCAGTTTCATTCTAAGTATGAGGAAATGGAAGCACAGGGAGGGAGAGTGACCTCCTGAGTCCACTCAACTGGTGAGTGGCAAAGCTGAGACCGCAGCCCAGGTCTGCCTGACGGGTCGCACTTGGGCTGAGGGCCGGGGGCTGGGGTGTCCAGTTGGGGTGGAAAGGTTTGGCTTGCTAGAAGGAGCCAGGAAAAAAACAAGAGAAGAAGCTGGAATCCTCAGGGAGGACCCCAGCACTTGAGCTCAGGTACGGATACACCCCTTGGAGGTCGCCAGGCTTCTCCCGCAGAAAGGGAGCTTGCTTCTGTGGAGCCTCCAGGAGGAAGTGGGCATGGCTTCTCAAGGTGGGCTCGGGCCTCAGTTTTCCCAAAAGTAGAGCAGTGGGGAAGGGGATCAGGCTCCCATAATGCCCACCTTCTCACCTCCATGCCCAGGGCCTGGTAATGTTGAAAGGGAAGGAGGAAGTGAGGGCAGGGCTGAGATCAGGAGGGTAAGGGTTGGGGCAGGACTAGGGGTCCTGTGTGTGGGGCTTCTGGAAGGAGTGGCCTCACAGAGGGCCTCTGAGCCAGCCTGGCGGGGACCCCTGCAGGGCAGAGCATCTGGGGACCATAGAACAGACCAGAACAATGGGACCCACTCCCTCAGAGTTCTGGATCTCAGAATCGCAGTCCCTGGAAATCTGGTCTCATCACCATCAAAACCTCAGTCACCTTGTCAACCTCATACCTGTCAGACCATCATTTCAAGGATCTTCCCCCAAGAGGAAGGTACCTCTTCCTACCAGGGGCCCAACACTGTAAAGCCCTCCATCAATTCAGGAATCGCCAGGACATCCCCATACCTACTGGTGTTTCCATTGCTAACAGGACCCCCATCCATGTCAAGGTCCCCCCATTACTCTCAGGCCACCATTCCTCTTGGGAAATCCTATCACTGTCGGAAACACCCAAGCCTGTCAGGCAGGACAGCACCATTGCACCACTCCAGGGACACCATTTTCCCTGTAGTCTATGTAAATGGCACCTCCTGGCATGGAGCCCTAAGTGTCAGCGTATCTGTTACTGTATGGCCCCCAGTGGTCTTAGGGCTGCCATGACATGGAGTCCCAGCCCTGGCAAACCCTTGTGTCTAAAGTGATGCCACATCATTGTCTGGAACCCAGAACATTATTCATGCCAGGCACTATTCTAGGTGCTGCTGATACAGTAGTAAACAAGACAGATATTGTCTTGGGCTTCATGGAGCTGAATGTAATCCTTAGGAGATTCTACAATGGAAGGCAAGCTCTATTAGAAACTAAGACTAATATAATGGGAAATTCCTCAGAGAAAGGGGTTAAGGTTGTGGGCAGTGAAAAAAAAAGATAAATATCTCAATAGTCCACCCTATGGCTGTAACATCAACATGCAT